ATCTCGCTGGATCACTTACCTGGCGCCTTAGACAGCTCGCCCGCCGTGCCGACCATATATACAATTCTGTGACATTAAACTGGTTCACGATACTGATTTAGGCTTTTGTAAAACTGTATACGTCAAGCAATATGGTTACAATAATACTGATGTAAATTACACATCGGTGGGGTAGCCTGCGGTCAAAGCGATCCCCCTGTCGCGCCTGAAGCTGACCCGGTCGATTCCCCACATGGGTACAATGTGTGTAGAACATTGCTGGTGTCCCCAAACGTGATATTGCTGGAATATTGCTAAACGTGGCGTAAAACCATACTAATCCTTCACTCACTCACAACCTTTCTCACACACATTATTGCTTTTACTAACATTAGACCATGTTCTATATAGTTTAGGGCGGTAGGATAGCCTAGTGGTTAAAGCATTCGCTTGCTACAAAGACGACCCAACCACACCAGGACTATATTTAAAGTCGATTTCTCTGTCCCCCGCCATGATATTGATGGATTATTGCTTAAACCAACGTAAAACCAACTCTCTCCCCTAACTTACGAAATTTTCCAGGACCTCTTGGCCATAAATTGGCCTTCCTATATCGATCCCTTCGCATCCTCTTCAGGTTTGTGACTGGAAGTTTGCAACCGCCAGAATAATTGTTGTTTAGTTAAATGCTATGCAAGGGCATGCCTGAATGAAAAGTCTCCTTTGTTCTCATTCTGAACATGCAAAGATTAGACGGAAAAGAAATTCACCGCCATGTCTGAAAGCGGGTCATGTTTACAATTGGAGCAATATCTAAAAGTATATGGACCTGAAGGTTACGATGTGAAAATATGTCACATGAATTGATTTCACATTTGCCTTCATTTCATATATATTATATAGAACACCACAGCTGGAGAATAGTGAGTGAGTTTAGTTTAACGCCGCACTCAGCAATATTCCAGCTATATGTGTAAATAATCGAGTCTGGACCAGACAATCCAGTGATCAACAGCATGAACATCGATCAGCGCAATTGGGAACCGATGACATGTGTCAACCAAGCCAGTGAGCCTGACCACTAGATCCCTTTAGTCGCCTCTTACGACAAGCATGGGTTACTGAAGGTTCATTCTAACCCGGACCTTCACGGGTAGCTGGAGAATAACCAGCTTGACGTAAGGGGCAAACATTTAGGGTGAGTGAGTGAGTGCGTTAGTTTAGTTTTACACCGCACTCAGCAATATTTCAGCTATATGGCGGCGGTCTGTAAATAATCGAGTCTGGACCAGACAGTCCAGTGATTGACTTCATGAGCCTCAATTAATGTCAATGACATGTGTCAACCAAGTCAGCGAGCCTGACCACCCGGTCCCGTTAGTCGCCTCTCACGACAAGCATGAGTTACTAAAGATCAATTCTAACCCGGATCTTCACGGGTAAATAATTGTATCTGGAGTTCATGAAAATGATCCTACAGGAATTTAGATTCAATGTCCTTGAGCTAACGTGACTATCACGTTCAAATGAATTGTGTTTTAAAACTAGCATATGACATACTTGCCTCTATTCATGTAGGTGAATAATTTCGAAGGTTATCAAATGAAGGTCTCAGACCGTACAGTCAGCACAATGGATGAGACGCGGAATGGGGAGATCCCCATGTCGGACATCAACGTCAACAACGACTCTGCCGACATTGTCAGCGTCAGCGGGAGTGGAAGGGCCAAGTGGTCCCGACAAATGGATTTCTTTCTATCCTTGGTGGGATATTGGTTAGTTATGGAAATCTGTGGAGATTTCCCTACTTCTGTAACAGAAATGGTGGAGGTAAGAATTACTCATATTTTAATCATCATTAGAAATTGGACCATAAAAATTGTAATAATATTTGAATTGCCAACGTACAAATTGCCTGTATGGCGTCAAAGCGTAATATTTCTTTCACACGATAAACTAAAAAGAATAACCAAAATAACTTTTTGAAGGCCTTGATGTGCCTTTGCATGTGTTTGTGACAGATGACACCAATGGGACAGGATGGTGAGCGTAAACGCATGTTTGTGATATAATCGGAATGGTACAATAGCTTATGCCTTGAGTAGCTTTTGTGAAGGGGAATCAATGTATCCACCGGCCCTAGAAAAGTGAAGCATCTATGCCAACACTATTTGTACAAAGAAGCGTTCCAGTAGTAACTGTTCAATTACTTCCATAGTCTTAGGCAATGAATCATTTCTTGTAGCAATATGTTGCATATACTATGCATAAAGCACGCACGCACACACACACACGCACGCACACACGCACACGCACACGCACACACACGCACACACACAGAGGTGATGTGTAAATCAGATACACTGCAAAAACAGCAACATATGGTGAACATCAAAACATGTTAGATATTTGATGATGTACAGTGATTCTATCACGATACCAAACACAGGCTTTACAATCACCCGTGCTCTTTGTGTCAGTATCGCGAGTTGCTGAGTCATGGTATGTGGGAACAAATATGTCCACGGGTAACAAATGCTTCACCTGTTAACCTGGAGAAATCGTCGTAGGATCCCTGAAGAGACATACCGATGGCGGGTCGCGTTGGTAAAAATGTACATGGATGTCCATTAATGATGTGTAATGTATTCGTAACAAAATACGGTAGTCGTGTATTGTAATAAATCTAAGTTCTAAACAGTAGGGTTTGGTGTCAGTCTGTTTGGATTATATGTTTTGTCAGGGGGCACATAAACAGCAAACAGAATCAGTGAAGATATCACTGTTAAATAAATCTACAATGTTCTCACATATTGTGTAATAACATCGCGTGATGCCCGACGTATAACATCATAATGGTTTACAGTTATGACGTCACAATGCTAATACCTCTGTCACAATGGTATAAGACCATGGTTGACTCGCAGTTTCTGCCTAATTTATGTAATTTATGTTGGAGAGTAATAAACAGAATACTAAATTGGCATCCGCGAAATACCATTTTCTTCGGTTTTTGCTCGTTTGATACCAAATCAAGTCATTGCTTGGTACAAGAACTGAAATCCTAACTGATAATAATCAGTCTGAAAATACATGTCCGAATAAAATGTACAAAATCAACTTTTCCAAATTTTTCAAAAAGTATCTCAAAAAGCAGAGTCAATGTATTATATCATGATCATGTGTTTATGAATCTCTGTCAAATAGAGGTGTTACTGTTTTCGAAAGGGTTGGCATGTCCTGTCCACCAGTAACATAGTGTCCAATTATGAGAGCTAACAAACTTTCTCTATCAATTATTCATGTTGCCCAATGTTGATGTTTTCATCTGACCAGGAGCGTTCCTTATTCCCTACTTGATCTGTCTCGTCCTGGTTGGCCTTCCATTGTTCTTCTTTGGAGGTGTCCATTGGTCAGTTCTTCTGGACGTGGGGCCATGCATGTGTGGAGCATTTGCCCCCTTTTGAAAGGTGATTTACTTAGGTGCGATATTCCAAGATAAGTGTCTTATTGTCAGATATGGTCAATCCCCTGACATTGGTACGTAAAGTCCACACTAACTGAAGTATATAACATCAACTAGTGTTTTAATTGCTCAATTGTGATTACTTTTAAATATTCTTGTATGTTTTGGCCTACATCCGCTAGTAGTGGTGAAAGTGATGACGTAAATCCTCCTGAGAATCATGCAGGAAGCAAAGGCTCCGTAAACTAAATTCCACTGAGTGTGGAGTAAAACTAAACTCACTCACCCTTTCCTCAGGCATGGGTTATGCGATGAGCATAATTTCCTACTTCTTTCATTCTACTTCAATCTGATCATTGGTTGGTTCCTATATCACCTGGTCATGTCCTTCTACCCTGTCCTTCCCCTGGACCACCTGCTCCAACTGGTGGAACACACCCGCATGTACGACCCTGGACTCGACCAAGGACTTCGGCAACGCAACGAGAGGCAACGCCAGTGTCGGGTACAGCATCAGCTACCCTGGGACTACACAAACATCCAGGAATGTCAGTACACCAGTAACAAGCATGTCTAATGCTTCAAGATCAGCAGCGGAAGAGTTCTGGCAGTAAGAAAACAGTTGCATTTTATTAAGATAAACCTTTACTTGAAGGTGCCCCTTACACGATTCGGAAATAGTGTTATTAATAGAAACGAGGTTATTCAGTTTTCATGCTTCAGTTTCATTCATTGATAGTCATTTCATTATATTCTGATTTTGCAGGTACAACACTCTGCGTGTTTCTGCAGGACTACAATGACATAAGGGTTGGACTTCAGTGGCATTTAGTTCTCGTTCTTTTTGTTGCATGGGTCCTATCTTTCTGTCTGATAAAAGGTGTCAGGTCTGTTGGAAAGGTGCGTGGAGAGGTTCGTTTAAATGGTGCAAAAATGATTCCTTGTACTTAGAAGAACAAACGTTTCTGTTCATTTTCATTCATAGTTTCAAATAGTGCACATTTCAGACAGTGTAGTTAAGATATACAGATAAATATATATCAAGTGATGTAAAATGTTGAAATAAATGGAAGTTAGAATAAAATATATATATGATCTTAATTACAGACGTATTGTTACTTTTATTACTGGTTTGTAGAATCAAAATATATTTTAAGACTACAGTTAACTCTGCAGGTACTTTGCAGACATTCACTAATCACAAGAATAACTGATCGTACCTGTTGAGACGCTATATAGCTGTGTCTGTGTCGATAGTGTTAACTTACTTACTGTATAGTATGGAGCTGATGTCAAGATATAAATATTTAGTTTATGTTTTTCAAACTATTCAAGTATTATTTGAATGTTTCGTACATGCGCTTACGGGGGACTGTTTCTTAAAAAAGTACTCTAATATCGCTACAGTTGACACAATATCAGATAGCGTCCTTTGACATCATTGTTCTTAAATGAATGATTACAGATGACACAGTTTCAGATTTCATCTTTGGAGATGCTGTTTCCTGGTTCCAGGTTGTGTATGTGACGGCCCCATGCCCTCTATATACTCCTCACAGTGATCATCGTTCGTGCCCGCTGATGTTACCTGGATCTCTCCAGGGGATCATTTTCTACGTCAAGCCAGACTTCAGTCGACTTGCTGATTTCCAGGTCATATTAATAACTCTTCATAGATCATCTTGTAGACGTCAGACGTCACAAAACGAACAAGACGTCATGAAATCAACAAACTCAATCACAATCACAAGAAATCTAGAAGGATAACCCACTGTACGATTCTAACTGGATCATAAGCATGCGCCTCTGCCTCACAAGATTGGTGGAAAGGCATAGGAATTACGTTAAAAGTACTTGCATCGGGCATCACTTTCACGACGATCCATCAAATTACTGACGTGTGTCAGCTGTAAAGACTTCTTGAAACCATTACTAAGGACTTTGGTGTAACAACTTTTATCTTACCTTTTATGTAAAATACTTTAATTTCATTGGTAAATGACGCTTTAACAAGTTTCCGTGTCACCTGGAAAAAATATTCCCCGCTGCCACGGTAACCGCCAAGCTCTCCGCCGAGAAGCTGAAGCGCTAACGATCTTGTGACGTCACAATATGACGCATGCCGTGCCCGGAGTTCGAAAACCGTTCGATCAGCTGTTTTTGTGTTCACTTTGTACCGATTTATTTTATCGACTTTCACTGCTTTCTTTAAGCTATTTTATACATTGAGTGGTTTGCACTCTCAACTTAAACACGATTAACCATTTTTTATAGCAGTTTTTAAGTTTATCAGAATATGTTTTACTGATTTTAAAAATCAAGTCGAGAGGCAGACGCCATTTTGTTTACTTTATAGTCGGTCGCGATTTTAACAAAATAAAATGATGTTTTGTGCATTTAACATGGCGGTAAGATAAATACGTGGCGAGGGATGACACTGCTAGAAACAGGCGTACATCAGACCGTATTACACTCGAGGGAAGCATACAACTTATAATAATCTACAGCCAGATGATGCTCTTTGAAACCCTTGTATAGGCAACATGCAGTACCTTAAAGTGAAACATTATGGACAAATGCTGGAATTGCAGGAACATTGATCTATATAAAGGGAATGCTGAGTGTTGGGATTTAGTCATTATCTCTGTCTTCAGGATGACATAACAAACATGTATCCAACATGCACCCATTTTCAGGTATGGCTGGAGGCATTGTTGCAAATCTTCTACTCTCTCGGCATCACCTGGGGCGGCCTTCACACCATGTCAAGTTACAACCGATTCTCAAATAACTGCTACAGGTACACTCACCGACGTCTGGCATTTAGGACAAGTCAGCAACAAAGGCAGTGGACGTTTTGCTCAACTCAAAACTTGAAAACCTGCTGTCTTAATATGGCTCTTAGCTGGATCAATATTGGTTTGGTTGTACCTGTTTTCATAGTTTATAGTAAGCTTATACTATGATATATTTTACAATATGGGTATCCAGTGTGCATCAGTAAGATGTGACCATGTTCAAATTACAAAACAGTTGGCAGAATGTATCAAGAGTGGTATGAGGACAGGGTAAAGCGTTGAACTGGCCATTAAAGATGATATTCTTTTGTGTAGTTAAACTCTTCTTTGTTGTTTAAATCCAAATGTGTCCTTTCGTATGTATGTATGTTGAACATTTTTATGTCCATTCATATTTTGTAAGTATATTTACATGTTCGAGCATGTACATCAAAGGATAGGATATTCATGCACAATACCAGTGAAGATCCGGGTTAGAATGGGGTCTTCAGCCACCCGTGGGTGGGGCGGTGGGGTAGCCTAATGGTTAAAGCGTTGGCACGTCACCCCCAAGACCCGGGTTCGAATCCCCACATGGGTACAATGTGTGAAGCCCATTTCTGGTGTCCCCCGCCGTGATTTTGCTGGTATACTGCTAAAAATCGGCGTAAAACCAAACTCAGTCAGTCAGTGATAGGCGACCAATCGGATGGGGTGGTCAAGCTCGCTGACTTGGTTGACACATGTTATCGTATCTCAATGGCGTAGGTGTTCATGCTGTTGATCACAGGATTGTCTGGTCCAGACTCGAATTATTTAGAGACCGCCGTCATACAACTGGAACATTGCTGAGTGTGGTGTTAAACAACAAACAAACGAACCGAACTCACACAAACAGTATAGAACATGTGGCATGTCTGAATCATTATTTGCAGAGATGCTGTCATCATTACATTCCTGAGTGAAGGAACCAGCTTCTATGCAGGTTTCGCCATCTTCTCCGTTCTTGGGTTCATGGCTGAGAAAAAAGGAATTCACATATCAGAGGTCACCGAAGCAGGTGAGGAAGGCTCAGTATGAGATCAAGATCAAAACGTTAGAGTCGGATGCTGATGACTGACTGAGACAGTAAAATAGATGTAACATAACTTTAAGGCGTTTCCCCCAGCTAGCAATATCTCAGCACGCGTTTGCTATTTAACAATAGTTAAGGAAAATCCAGGTTTCTCGCACACGTATGGTTCTGGCGATACTCAGAAAATGTTGATTGCAAGTTTTTGATACGAACACACGACTGTTGGGGCTTTGGGTCTCATGTATCTTCCATTAGTTGTTTCTATAAATCAAATGTGACCTACCTTGATTCGACTTGTTGTTGAGCTTAAGCAAAGAATTCGCTCGAAGTCGTATTTCAGTAAACGACATCAACAACACAGAACAAATTAGGCTTAACGTCACATGCTTCTTCTTAGCTATGGTGGCCAAGCTTCTTTACGAAAAGCACTGATTAAAGTAACCATACAAAATAAGTATGAAAAGATTCTATTAAGATTAGTCACGGTGAGGAAGAAGATAGTACTGATGCTGCTGTTTCTGTATTTGCATGGAATACAAGAGCTGTTATACATTCCGAAGATCTTCTACAGATTCAGATGAAAGACTCTGATACTTATTCCTGTATGCGGGTTTTAGCCATTATGAGCTTCAGTTGTTAGAACTGCTGCCACGTTGAACATCTTGCACACCGATTTTGATTATGTATGGTCAAATATCTTCTTCAGGAAATCTCTTTGGTATTGGCATAAAGATACATACAAACTCAAATTTGAATAACTTGTTGTACTACAAATGTAAAACAAAATTAGCCAGCAAGTCTTATACGAGAAATATTTCCCCATTTTGCTTACAGTTAACCTTTGTGATAAATGTCTGAGGCCTGTATAGTTTCGAGGTTCCTCCAGGATCAAGCACACAGTCAGACTGAGTGTTAAACAAACTCATGCACCCACTCTCTCATAGTCATGTGTGATACAGAACCATGACATACTATTGAATTAATCATTTGATATTCCGCAGGTCCTGGTCTTGGTTTTGTGACGTACCCAGAAGCCCTTGCAGAACTTCCGTTTCCACAAGTGTGGTCCGTCATCTTCTTTGTTATGCTTGTCACCGTTGGAGCTGATAGCGAGGTCAGATTGTTGGTATCCAAAGACAAGCAAAGGTTTCTCCTCTTAAAACATAACCTTGTTGTGTCGCCATTTAAACAAATCAATCTTTTCCGTTATCTCAAATATCTCTGTATATTTATCATAATAATACGCAATAGGCCGAGATAGATTCGGAATTTCTTTATATTGAGTGATTGAGTTTAGTTTTACAGGGCACTCAACAATATTGCTGCTATATGGAGGCGGAGTGTATATAATCGAGTCTGGACCAGACAATTCAGTGATAAACAGCATGAGCATCGATCTACGCAATTTGGGATACGATGACTTGTATCAACCAAGTCAGCGAGCCTGACCACCCGATCCCATTAATCGCCTTGTACGACAAGCCTTCAACAACAACTATTACCTATCACGTAACTTTGTTCGTGTACCATGCCTTGTTGAAAAGATAGTTCACACCTCATTTACTAGTGCTGTAACCTTTGCAAATAATGTACGACGGGTCTACGGCCGACAGGTCAAAGAAACAAAACACGACTGCTTAGATATTTGAGTTAATGAAGTTCTAGAAGAGTCCGTTAAAAGTTTCCACACTTCAAACCAACTGACGTTTTCATCCATTTTCATTTTATCCCTTTATGTCCCTGAATATATATGCTGACAACGAACCCAAATATATTCTTAAGGATGTGTAGCTTTGACTATTGCTGTATATTTTACTGTAGTTTTGTGCATTGGAAACGACGGTGACTGCAATCATAGACACCTTTCCTAAACGTCTCCAACGTCGACGTAGCTGGGTGACGGCTCTCGTGTGCGGCTTCAGCTTCATTGTTGGCTTAGTGTTTACAACGCGGGTAAGGAGGTTGTGAGGTTCATTTCCGGTAAAATATGGTGACCTCGACACGTTCACATAAACTTAATCATCGCATAGGTGAGCATTTTCGTCCCCAGTACGTGTTAGCAGAAATATTTTGAAAGCACTCGCCCATGAAAGAAATATTATATTTCAAGGTATTCATGCCTTTCAGCGATTGTGCGACAGTGTGTGTGTACGTGCGTGCGTACATGTGTGTGTCTCTCAGAGGGAGCGTATCTGTGAGGATGTTCATATATATGTTTCTGTATTTTATGGAATCCTAGAAGGGACATTGTTGTTGCATTGTCGACCTTACAAAAACAAGCAAAAAGTGTCAAAATTAACCAAAGTGCGGCAATGCGACGATGTCCTTTCTAGGATCCTACAGTATCCCGAACAAAGTGGAGTTGTAATATCAGGCCATTGGTTGTGCTTTTGTGTGTTTCGATGTATCTGTGTGACTTGTAATACAAGGCTGTTGATTCCGTGAGTGCATGTAAGTTCCAGGGTCAAAACATGATTTCGCCTTGAACGCCATCATGGACGAGTGTTAGTAATAGATACTCCGATTACGTGTCCTGATTGTTAAAATAATGTGTAAAAAGTATCTTGAAACTGAAACCACACGGACCTGTTATAAACTTATCCAGGTGGATTGGTTGTTGTTTAACGCTGCACTCCAGCAGTATTCCAGCTATAAGGCGGCGGCCTGTAAATGATCGAGTCTGGATCAGGCAACCCAGTAATCAACAGCATGAACATCGATCTACGTAATTGGGATACGATTACATGTGTCAACCAAGTCAGCGGCCCTGTCCACCCGATCCCGACAGTCGCCTCTTACGAGTAGCATGGGTTACTGAAGACCAATTCTAACCTGAATCTTAACGGGCTTTATCTAGGTACGATTCCACTGAATAGTAAATATGCTCTGTTTCATTGTATAGGGTGGCATCTACGTGTACATGTTGATCGACTGGTATGTGGCAAGCTTCAGCACTATGCTCATAGGCATCATGGAGTGCCTCATCATTGGATGGATATACGGTACGGATGATTTGTTACACACTTACTGGGGCGCTTGTGGTGGTGTAGTGGGTCATGCGTTCGCTCGTCACGCCGAATCGTTGGATTAAACACATGGGTTTAACGTGAAAGGCTCATTTCTGCTGTCCCCCACCGTGGGATTGCTGGAATATTACTAAATGCGGTGTAAAACCATACTCACTTACTCACTCATGAAAAGAAGTCAAGTGTAAATTTGATAACCCGAAATCGACATGGGTTTATGAATTTATAGTCTTTGAAATTGTTTGTCTGATTTGCCCAGTACTCCAGTGTGTATAGTATCCTCACTATATAAATGAATCGGTAGGGTAGCCTAGTGGTTGAAGCTTTCGATTCCACACATGGGTACAATACGTGAACCCCAATTCTGGTGTGACCCGCTGGTCTAACACTGGTGTTTCATGTAGTAAGCGACACCCTGGTCTGTTGTGCCAGGTGCCGACTTGTTTAGTAGTGACATCGCCATGATGCTAGGACGGAAACCGCCAATCTATATGAAGACTCTTTGGTGCTTTCTGACACCTGCTCTTCTGATAGTAAGTAGTCTATCATTTTCTGCAACTTTGTATGTGGGCCGGTGTTCTAAATTACAATTTTCATCATCATCTTCTTCATCATCTTTATCGTCGTCGTCGTCGTCGTTTTCATCATCGTCGTCAGCATCATCAGCATCAGCATCATCAAGGTCTCCTTCATTACCATCATCATCATCATCTTCTTTCTCTTCATTACGCATCGTCATCTTCATCAAGATCTTCTTTTTCATTACCATCATCATCATCAGCAGCAGCAGCAGCATCTTCTGTCATTTCATTACAAATCATCATCGTCTTCATCATCGTCGTCGTCGTCATCATTATCATCATCACTATCATCAAGATCTTCTTCATTACCATCATCATCATCGTCTTCATTATCACCATCATCATCATAATCATCATATTCCTTCTTATTACCATCAGCACCATCTTCTTCATTATCATCTTCTTCATTATCAACATTTTCTTCATATGATCTTCTTCTTCTTCATTATCATATTGGTCTTCTAAAAAAATTGAATGTCTTTCCTAGACCACTTATTGTTTCCTGTGTGTCATGTTCTTACATCCTGTAGGCGGTCATGTTGTATGATGCTCCATATTTCAGATGTGCTTCGTCCTCACAGTAGTCCAGTACGATGTTCCGACCTACAATGACTATGTATACCCAACATATGGAGTTGCCATAGGATTATTCATTGGTCTGGTGGCTATAGTACCAGTGCCGATCTGTATGATGAACGAGATAGCCAAGGCAAAGGGGACTTTTCTTGACGTAAGTGTTTTGTTCGTTAAATCTGTGTAATCTTTGACCACGGTTTCTATCTTCTGTCTTAGTCATACAACCAAATTGTAACTGATAATTCATACAGACAAAGACGCCCATACTGTTAAGTGAGAAAAAGAACCTTTAGGCGTCTTTCTGCACATTGTGTGAGTGGCAGATGCAATTGGGCAAGATATGCATGAGGAAGGGTAAGAATATATGGATGAACAACTTCTTTCTTGCAATGACAGCGTTGTTTCTGTGTAGGTTCTAACACCGTTATCAAGTAAGTGATGAACAGCATGAGGATAGAGAAGCATATACACACATTTGAGGAGATGTTTGTACAGTACAATAGGGGATAAGGAAGCAGTAACCTATATCGAAACGTAACTCTCATCGTAATAAAGAAGTTGTTCTAACACCCTTATCAAGTGATGAACAGCATGAGGATAGAGAAGCATATACACACATTTGAGGAGATGTTTGTACAGTACAATAGGGGATAAGGAAGCAGTAACCTATGACGAAACGTAACTCTCACAGTAATAAAGAAGTTGTTCTAACACCCTTATCAAGTGATGAACAGCATGAGGATAGAGAAGCATATACACACATTTGAGGAGATGTTTGTACAGTACAATGGGGGATACGGAAGCAGTAACCAATACCGAAACGTAACTCTCACAGTAATAAAGAAGTTGTTCTAACACCCTTATCAAGTAAGTGATGAACAGCATGAGGATAGAGAAGCATATATACAAGTTTGTGAAGAGGTCTGTAAAGTACAACAGAGCATTAAGAAACCAGTAACCACACCGAAACGTTGCTTCCGCTGCAATAAAGAAGTTGTTCATCCATACATTGCTATCCTTCCCTAATGCTCCTACTTCTAAATGGCTCTCAAAGAAATTAAGATATGCATACGCGGCCAAGTGTTCATTTTATGACAAAATACAAACAACACTGTCAGTTATGTAACTGAAATATCTATACTAACTCAGCGGATGAGGCATATCATGTGGCACATGGGGTTTAACAGCTAGATTTTCTGGTCAATTGATCACTCGATTGTCTGAATTCTTCACAGACCACCTTCGCGTAACAGGATTAATACTTTGTGACGTAAGACAAATTGTGTGGGTGCTTCCTTCAAGGCAGGATATGCACATCTTTTTTCGCGAACATATGGTGTCGTTAATTATATTTAGCAGTTCATATAATTTTCACCGTTTTTTAGTTTCTTAAGCCAGATGAAATAGATATTTGTTTCGTTTGATAATCGAGTCTTGTTAATCCCTGGCGTATCCTATAAACGCTTAAACATTAATACATAAATATGGACCATGTTCATTGAGCATCGTTAATATTTGATAAACTTCTTGTGCATCAGCTTATCTTACCGATTCATTGCTAACGTGCTTAGGGTAGATCCACCTCAATATTACATGTTCCAATATGATAACAACTAATTATGAGTACAGTGACAATGACAGTTTCCAGAACCCAGATGGGTGATAGAAAGAAGGGTAGTCGCAATGGTAATTCTTTACCTTAATTAACAGAAGTTTGCTTACAATATCATGAGATCCGTCGTACCGTTCTGACTTTATCATGAGCATTTTTCAGGAATCAGTGGTGGAGACAATGCGAAGGCATCCCTGACCCCCCGCACCAGATTTAAAGCATTCTTTCAGTCGATATTGGATTTGTCAACCGTTTGACCATTTATTAATTTGGTCGAAAATTGGCACCTTCGATGTAGCGTTGTGGTGTTCTGTCAGTGTTGCATTAAAATCTGGTCCATACTGGTTCCTCAGCAGTTTATGAGCGGATATATATGTCAAACATTTAACATATACCACGGATATGTCAAACATTAGCATATACCCCGGATATGTCAAATATTAGCATATACCACGGATATGGCAAACATTTAGCATACACCACGGATATGGTAAACATTTAGCATACACCATGGGTATGTCAAGTAGCAAAGACCATCGTACCACGGATATATCTAACATTCAGCATAGTTCACGGACATATCAAACATTTAGCATAGGTCACGGATATGTCAAACATTTAGCATAGACTAAGGCCATGTCAAATGTTTAGCACATCTCCAAATAGGAACATAAGCAATTCAAATATATGGTCGTTTTGTGGAAGTTATAGTTATGGTTGTATACTTATCTATGTTCGTTCTGTTTGGCAGCGTGTGCGCACTTGCTTAAAGCCAGACTCTACTTGGGGACCAAGCTCCATTAGCCACCGTTCTGAGTATTCCAGACACAGGAAGTCTCACTGGAGGAACTGTTTCAGGCTACATAAATGGTAGACAATGAAATACAGGGCGCATATAAGCGGGGAAGCCAACTTTAAAGAACTCCTTTTAGATAAAAAGAATAAATTACAATTCGCTTTCGAGTTGTGTCATTTTCTTAATCGCACTAGAGTCTTCTATTATCGAAACGCATATTCTTAAAATTGGGGCGTGTCAGTTAAATACCAAGATGTCATGCTTCTTACAGATTGAAGATTGTATTGATAAATACATGTAGTAGGAAATATCTTTGTACAGTCTTCACAACTTGTGTAACCAAGCAACGATTGCTTGTCGTAAAAGGCGTCAAGCATGGTGGTCAGGTTTGCTCACTTGGTTGATGTATGTCATTGTCTTCAAATGTGTAGACTAAACAAAATCATGCATAAGTGTATGTCTATTGTCACTGGTCTATTTCTGTACAAAATTATAAAGGTCAGAATTACCTGCAATCCGTATTAACTGTTTTGTTATACGAACGTCCGTCCATCCTTTGAATAAGAAAGAATACAAAAACGTATCGAATCCCATTTCTTCGTACTTCGTATAGAATAAACAATTTGCAGGATAGGATAACTTTTTACATTGTTTTCTATAAAAAAAAGATGATCGTGTATAGTTTCTTGGCCTAGACAATTTGGAAGAAGGCTTATGGATCTTTGGTCTACGTTAGAATTCACACCACCAAATAAACTGCGGACAACTCATGCATTTTAATGATGATTAAACAGATCTATATACTTGCAACCTGTCACACATGCACTTGATCTATCACGAACAGATTCAAACCTAGGAATGTGCATGTCCAGGAGGACCTTTGGTGCAGACACTAGACATCAACTGCACTCGCAAGTATTTGTCCTGCCGACAGTTCACCTTTGTCCAGCTGGAATTTCATGAAGTTCAACTGATCCTTATTCCCAGATCGATGAAATTAGTTAAAGTTTTACCGATTAACTAAAGAGTGCCTATTTCATGAATATCGCTTACCCTTAAGGCTGGCTAAAAATATCGATAATCGGAAACATCGTCGATAGGACGAAATATTAAAGATTATCGATCTGCATTAATGCCAACGATAATATCGAACATACACATTAGTGATTAAAGTTTTAATTTACATACACAATACAAAAAGTTAGATTTTAAATCTGGACTGCTTCTAAATTATGTTCAGGACGCTGGTTTGTTAGTACCCATGCATTCTGCTCACCAACGGTGTGAAATATATTTATTTATTTCAGATGTGTTTCTTTCAGTTACTTCTCAGATATTTATCGATGATCGATCGATATTTAGTTAACAATTATCGATCTCTATGATCTTTATCGTTACACAGCCTCACTAACCCACGGTTCTTTTGACATTAGCTGAACGATTTTAGAGATGAATGCATTGAATTTCCCAGGTCCCCACAAAGCTCAGATTCATAAACCATAGTAATGCACACATTTTAAAGAAGCTGGAAAATAACACAGGAACCAAGTCACACTTCCAATATCATCTTACTGTGTACAATGTATTAGTGAAAGTAGCACTTTTTGGCGCACTGTTACAAACGGATTTTACAATTAATGCAAAGGTCAACTAAACTGAGAAACCATTAAATGACAACGATACATCAATGAATTTTCAACAAATTATATAACAGAACACGGGTTTTAGATTTGCAATACAATGGTTGAAAATGAGTGGTATCAACAGTAGTGAGTGAGTGAGTCAGTTCAGTTTTACGCCGCACTCACCAATATTCCAGCTATATGGTGGCGGTCTGTAAATAATCGAGTCTGGACAAGACAATCCAGTTATCAACAGCATGAGCATCGATATACGCATTTGGGATACGATGACATGTGTCAACCAAACTCGGCGAGTCTGACCACCCGATCCCGTTAGTCGCCTCTTACGACAAGCGTCGGTTACTGAAGATCAATTCTAATCCGGATCTTCACCAGTAGTGGCACTCATGAGTGTCTAGAATTTTGTCACTGGCTTGTACAGGGCATGTCTACGTTTTTGAATCCAGAATTGACTCAGATGTTGACATAATTTCGTTGTTTGCAGCCAGCTGTCCAATCCACATGAGTGAGTGAGTGACTGAGTGAGTGAGTTGGGTTTTACGCCCCATTTATCACCCTTCCAACAATATTTACCAGAAATCTGCTTCACACATTGTACCCATGTACATGTCTTCAGCGTGACGAGCGAACGCTTTAATCACTAGGTTGCCCAACCTCCTACATGTAAATCTGGCACGGGTCCGGTGGACTAGGCCTTGAAGTGCCTCTATTTGTGTGGACCGTCATCCTTCCAGTGCTTGAACCTCCTGGATGATCAGGCCAGTTATCATCAAGAATACAAGAGCTGTAACAAGACAAGGTTGTTATTACAGCTGACGGGGGTTACACCATGTATTGACATTGATCTCATGATTTCCTGAGGATTGTAAGCCAGAATCTTGAAAATGACAGCTCTTGTTAACACCATACGACCATAGTTATCAACACTAAAGAATTAAGAAATACAGTTCGCTCTACCACCAAGTATAGTGTAATAAAGCACACTTTCGCCCTGAACTATTATAGTTAAAGCCCGACCTTTGTCAGTTGATTGTCAACATGTCCGAACAGCCGAGACAAGGTCGCCGTTTAACATTCTCTGCTCCCCCATTTAATGAAGTTAACTTGACCTGCCGTTTGTGCCTATTGACCTCCCTGGTCATGCATATGTAGAGTAGCTCAGGTCAAGCTGAACAAGCTGTACACTATACATGGTGGTAGAGCGAGCTGTATTTCTTTTCTAAGATGTCAGATTTAATACTTTCTAAGGATAATTACGATTAATCTAAAGCAGAAAACAAACGACGGTGTCGGTGACCTAAATTAAGAATCCTCGCACAGGGCTAACTGACGCGCTTTGTTCTATTGACGTGTCTGCCCCCCTAGGTTAACACAAACGATAAACAGTTTGATGACGGTTTACGTTCGGGTTAAATATCTTCTCTAAATTATTTTAATTACATCTGTGATTAACGTAAACCATATGGGGCAATATGAACGTCGCATTTCTACTACCAACGTAAGTTTAGATCAGTACATCCAGATGAAGCTGGCTAGTCAAACCACATTCCACGGATGCATTGTGGGAATAAAAACATTGCGAAAATTACCGTGCCGCTGTAAAATTGTGAGTCAAACTGAGACATTTTGAAATGTATCCACCAGTGATGTTAGCTGAGTGAAGCAACTGCAAACCAAGAAACGGGATGCAACGTAGTAGTTTACTGTAGGAGGCTGTACGAGGCGATGACAACTGACATTCATCGTGACGTCGCTTACATTGTGACGTAATGCAAAAGTCTTCGATTACGAGGGGGCAGACTAGAATGTCGCAGTGACGCCATTACATTGTGACGTAATGCAAAAAGTGCACATTATCGTCTGATAAAGTACTGTCGGCATCTTTGACCTTTCACCGAAGCATCTTAGAATAAGTCAATTTTTGCCATGTTTGCTTCTCAGAAGAAACAGTTTTCGTTGTCTTTGCGTGTATGTTTGCATCAAATCATTCGTTGGGAGGGGTCATTGTCTCCATTTAATTGTGGTTTAAATAAATTCCTTTTAATGTGGTTAATGATAACATATTTACACTGAAACATTTGGGATGTTGCGATACAATATTAAATATTAGAAATTTAGACATGTATATTTAATAGATGGAAATGTTTCCGAGTACACAATGCCCCGTTTATTGTTTTCACACCCACCGTTAGATATAGGCACGCATGGATATCCATGCTGGTAAAACTTTAAAATATTTTGAAAGAAAATCTGGGATTCGAACACTACGATCCTAGGCACGCTACAACACTTCCACAGTGCACAATGAATTGGCCAGCACAGTCCGATCTCTTTTGCCAGTATAGATTTAACAGATCAATATTGTTTTGTTTGTTTTTTAACGCCGCACTCTGCAGTATTCAAGTTATATGGTGGCGGTCTGTAAAAATTGAGTCTGGATCAAACAATCAAGTGATCAACAGCATGAGCATCCGTCTACGCAAATGGGATACGATTACATGTGTCAACCAAGTCAACAAGCTTGATCACCCGATCCTGATAGTTGCCACCTACGGCAAGCATGTATTGCTGAAGACCAATTTTAACCCAAATCTACATGGGTAGGGCCAATATTGAACAGAAGAGACCTGATAGAGAGCTATATCATTGTTTCCTATCAGCACAGACCGCCTCCGTGGTGTAGTGGTTAGAGCATCCTCCCGGAGAGCGGAAGGTCGCGGGTTCGATCCCCGACCGCGTCATACCAAAAGACGTTAAAATATGGTACTTGTTGGCGCTCGGCATTAATGGGTACAACAAGGACTGGTCGGCTCGGAGTCAGTATAATGTGTCTGAGTGTGGTATTCATGCTTCACTGCGGCATGGTATCTCATTTGGCTAGCACTATAAAACCAGCCTAAGTCTGGGCTAGTACAAGCAGCGGCACATACACATACACTCGCATGCACGTCGTCATATGAGCGAAATATTCTCAAGCACGACATTAAACCCAATTTCACCTCACCTCACCTATCAGCACAACAGAACGGAAGAGACCTGATAGAGAGCTACATCATTGTTTCCTATCAGCACAAATGAACTGTAGTAGTATAAACAATGGGGGTACGGGACCAGCCTATATAAGGCAAGGAATCAATAAGTATACATTCCTAACTCATATTTATTTATAAACCCATAACACAAATACTTTTTATCTCCCTGTAAAGTAGTCATAGTCTTACTCGAAAGAGGAGACTATGACTACAGTGGTGACCATAGTCTTACTCGAAAGAGTAAGACATGGAATCAATAATAAGTATCCTATTAATTTAAATAAGCTATATTCTTATATAACTTCAATTTATTAATTTGTAAAGATATAACTCCACTGTAAAATAGTCTCCCGAGGAAGACTGTGTTTATGTTTTTTCTCTCACCATGAGAGTGTCACATTTCATGAAGCCAAATGGTATCAAGTCCCTCGATGTATGAAAGGTGTATGTTACGGGTTAGATTACACAATCCTATATCTATTACATCATCTTATGTTTAACATGAAGGATGCTTGTCTATTTAGAGAATTGTTTTCACATATAATATCAACACTGTGTTTGTAACTTTATGATATGTTTACAGTACATGAATTGAAAAAGCAAGCACGAGACTGTGGACTTCGAGGTTATTTTCGTATGAGAAAACATGAATTACTAGATTTATTAGGTTTTAAGTATAAAAAAACACCTACTGTGAAAGAACTAACAAAGCAGGCTCGTGAACGTGGAATGCGAGGTTATTCTCGTATGAGGAAATCTGAGATCATTGAATTACTGAAGGAACAAAAACCTATAGAATTACAATTCACGCCTACTGAGCATGCTGTAGGTAAATATTTGAGAGGTTGGAAGATGGAAGTTCAAAGAAACATAGACGTTGAAGATATAAAACCATTGGTATTTGACAAAGTAAATGAAGAACTGAAAGATTTAAGAGGTATTAAATTTCAACTCATGTTAAACATGACACTAGAGAAACAACAGTCGAATGAAACAACTGAATACACCAATGTTTACTTCAGAGGTAATCAAGGAGTTACAGCGCAACCAGACACTATCAACTCTTCTATAGACAGATCATTAGAAAAAATGCGAGAAACACTAGAACGTTACACTAATATGGGTTCTGGTTGGGTTGTTGACAAGATTAACATGGTCTACCTGGATATAGCAAACTATATACCATTGAAAGGTGGATCGTACTTACCCCTGTCTGAGTAGTTCAAGAAAAAACAAGCTATGGTTAACGTTAAAAACCGAGGCAACAATTGTATGAGGATAGCGATAAGATCCGCTAAATTTTTAGTTAAAAAAAATTCCGATAGACTTTCCAGTTATCCAGAAGATGACGGGCTCAATTGGGAAGGTATAGACGAACCCACCCCCATCTCTCCGATCCAAAAAATAGAACAACAGAATCAAGACTTAGCCATAAACGTTTTCGGACACGAAGGTAAAAAGGTAATAGTACACAGGATAAGACCTTTATTGTATAAGGGTTGTCGTAAAATGATCAATATATTTATGATCCAACAAGGTGAAAATATCACTACACATGGATAAAGAATTTCAGCAGACTGTTGTACAATCAATCGAAACACAGGGAAAAGAAACACTTTTGTAAAAGGTGCCTTCACGGGTTTTCTAGGGCTGATCTGCTAGATTCTCACAGGGTTGATTGCTTAGGTGTAGGGGAGACAGCCGTACGAATAGATATGCCGAGAGAAAAAAACAACATCTAGAAATTTATCAACCACAAAAATCAAATGCCAGTACCACATATTATCTACGCCGACTTCGAAGCTATCATTAAACCAATCGATACAGTAGCTCAATCCACTAATCAAAGTTTCACACAAAAAGTAAAAAAGCACGAAGCGTGTGGGTTCGGGTATGTGGTCGTTCGTTGTGATGGTCAAACTAACCCTCCCGTTATTTATAGAGGACCAGACGCGGCTGAAGAATTTCTAAAGTGTTTACAACACGAAGAGAAAAAGATTATTAAAAAACTATGCAACAAAACACCAATGCGTATGACCCAAGCAGACCGGGAAGCCCACAACAAAAGCACACATTGTCATGTGTGCTGTAATGGTGATTCAGTTAGAGATCACTGTCACATTACTGGTAAATACAGAGGTGCGGCTCACAATGAATGTAACTTGAAGCTAAGAATAAATCATAAACTTATTCATATACCAGTGGTGTTTCACAATCTTCGCGGGTATGATTCACACTTGATTATGCAAGCTATTTCAAAGGTAAAAGGCAACATATCCTGTATCCCAAACAATATGGAAAGATATATATCCTTTTCGCTAAATGGGTTGAGATTCATAGATAGTGTTCAGTTTCTGTTGTTGTCTCTAGACAGCTTGGTCAAAGCTAATTACCCAAACGACTTAGCTGTAACTAATCGTTACACAGAAGAGGAAACTCGAGCTTTGCTGCTAGGTAAGGGGATCTACCCGTATGAATATATGGATGACTGGTCTAAGTTTAATGGGACACAGTTACCTCCCATTGACCTCTTCTATAGCAAGCTGTCTGACGCGTCTATCACACAAGACGATTACGAACAAGCTAAAAAAGTATGGGAAAAACTGGGTTGTCAGAATCTAGGTGATTACCACGATTTGTATTTGAAAACAGACGTGTTATTGCTGGCTGATGTATTCGAGATATTCAGAAAAACGTGTTCGAAGCAATACGGGTTGGACCCGGCATGGTATTATTCAAGTCCTGGGCTCTCGTGGGATGCCCTAATGAAGAAAACCGGTGTGAAATTAGAATTATTCACCGATTACGATATGCATCTGTTTATAGAGAAAGGGTTACGCGGTGGTATTTCTGTGGTATCAAAACGTTATGCCAAAGCTAACAACGAGTATGTGAAAGGCTACAACCCTAAAAAACCTACAAACTATCTACTCTATCTAGATGCAAACAACCTGTACAGCTGGGCCATGAGCCAGTATCTACCTACCTGTGGTTTCGAGTGGACATCTGAGATCAATGATGTTATGAGCATCGCACCGGATTCGAACAAGGGTTATATACTCGAAGCGGATTTAGAATATCCGGAGGATTTACACACCTCACACAACAGTTATCCCCTGGCTCCAGAGCGTTTGAAGGTGAATATGGAATGGATCTCTGACTACCAACGAAATTTGCTGGGTCCTACAGGACGGGTGGTAAACGCTGAAAAACTCGTACCTAACTTGATGAATAAAACCAAGTACATCATTCACTATCGCAATTTACAACTATATCTGTCGCTGGGTATGAAGCTGACTAAAATACATAGGGTACTAAAATTCAATCAAAGCAAGCGGATGGACCCATACATCAGCAACAGGTCACGAGGACGGAATTGTTACACTGAATGTCCATCCATATAGTAAACAAGGTTGACATCTTCATCAAAATAATGTATGAAAGTCCGTTTTGTAAATATTCCTGTCGTCCAGAATGGTGACTGACTGTGTATAGATAGGGAGCAACATTATATGAGCAACCAAAGGTATGTCTAAGTCTGATATAATGAAAATGATGAAACCATTACGTATTCTATCAATTAATCTAACATAACACAATTCGTAAAAAACGCCACACCAAAATCCCAGGAAATTATAGCTTACATGGAAGGAGCCACCCCTTTAGACAAATCTGAATTAAACTGCAACACAAAATAATACATTTTACATATTTGACTGTTTGAAGTAACAGATTATACTCACACGGACTTCTCCTCGGGTAGGTCTTGTATGACCGTGAACATCACCTGTGTTTAAATCACCCTGGTAATACTTTATATAGCAGATTAAGAAACCCAAAATGCATGTTTTCCAGATGTATAAAACTGACGTGTTTGGAAGCAATGTTCGTGCTCTAGGAATGACACCTAACCCTACCAAATACAACCAAACATACCATGACAAACGATCATCTGACATGTATGACACTATCGGTCGTGTACACTGTATAACCCAATTCATGGGGACACTTTCTAGTCAAACAGACTTTTGTAGTTGTGCTGAGAATATAAATACTCATTGTACGCCACAACTACTCGTATTGCTCTTACAGCGACAGAGGTGTTACGCATGACCGCCGCGCTCAGATTTCACAATCGGTGTTCAAGGAAATAATGCATGAGTTCGAATGTATCCTGGCTGGCAAACCAACAATAGGCGATAACCATATCTGGATACTTGGGTTTATTCACAACAGCGAGCAACATGTGCACACTTTCCCTCTACACCGGTTGTGATTTCAAAGCTGGCTGCCTCAGGTGAGTAGGTGGGTGTTGTCTGTCTCAAGGCTGTCGTCGGCCTGTGTCACAGTGGTCAGTGCTGTCCTAATGTAAGTTTGTGACTTCAGAAATGTTCATGTACAGGTATACAAGCTTTCAATAAGTCAGGTCTTATCACCGATCGGGCTTCAGTAATACAATATATATTAAATAAGGTAGGCCTCTCCGAGCTACTTTCGTTATCTCAACACAGATTTCTGTGTTTGTATACATTAAAATTGCCTTATACATGTGCAGGGCTAATGAGTGATGGCAGTTCTTTGTTCCATGCATATTATTTGACCCTAACACACATTTCATATTCACTGACAACTTCACCTTCAAGTGCAGCAGTCATACGATATGGCAGGAGGTGTATGTACAGATACGGTCTACTTCCGTAATGGTATAGTGGTCTCCACACAGCTACATGTCCGTCAGCTGATCAGTTATATTATCGATCAATCATAGTTACCTCTATAAACATAATGGAAGATAAATGTAGTTGTCTCTGTCATAATTACGTTATACCATGAGCACATTTCACGATCTGGTGAACGTTTGTATATCAAATAGTTTTTATTAAATTTGACATGGCCTACTTTCGTTATGCTAATAAGATGACGTCACACCATTGCTATGTCACATTGTCGGTAAAGGCGGACGCACTTCAAGTATGGACAAGTTGATATGTCTGTCTCGCCACATGTTGATAATGCAATGGGCAAATACTACCGATTTCACATTTCTTACATTGTCAAATCTAGAAACTGGGAAAACCAAACATATCATCAGACAGTATGTAAGGTAATCTTTCTAAAAGTGAGTTAACGTCACCTGCATTTGTCTATTTGACGGGTACGGTATCCACTGGCATATATGGAGAAATTCGTACAGCAAAAACTATCGTTCATCAGTCTTTAAACATTTTATAACCCGAATAATTCACAAAGTGTTGATATGAGGTAACATGCATTTACTTATTGATGATAAAGGTCACATAACAAATGTATCTTTGGGAAAAAAACAACTTTCGAGACATTAAATGCATTATATATACTCATGCCAATAATGGTTGTCACCCCCTTCAATTTTTTCAATTGGAGAGGGTGTGTGGGGTGTGGGTGTGAGGTGTGTGTGGGGTTGGGGTGGGGAGGGGTGGTGATAACCATTATTAGGCATGAGTATATTAAGAAGATTACTCAATGAAATATTTCCATCAAGACAAGGCAGCGACATTACTGTGATAAATCTACGTTGTGTTAGTTACGTCATGTTTAGATGACAAATAATTACCCCTTGTGATCAAACATCCCTTTTGTGAGTGAGTGAGTGAAAATACGAAACGACCACTGTGCACCGGTGTGACTCACTAACTTCGCTAACGCGTGTCACCGCACCTCGATGGCATTGGACGTTAATCATGATAACATTTACCTATTTATGTTATTAAGTAATTGAGTGAATTTAGTTTTATGCCGCTTTTTGCAATATTCCAGCAATACAACATGGAAGGAAACAAGAAATGTGCTTCACACATTGTACCCATGTGGGAAGGATCGATCCCGGGTCTTGAGTGAGTTTAGTTTTACACCGCTTTTAGCAATATTCCAGCAATACAACATCGAAGGACACAAGAAATGTGCTTCACACATTGTACCCATGTGGGAAGGATCGATCCCAGGTCTTGAGTGAGTTTAGTTTGACGGCGCTTTTAGTAGTATTCCAGCAATACAACATCGAAGGACACAAGAAATGTGCTTCACACATTGTACCCATGTGGGAAGGATCGATCCCGGGTCTTGAGTGAGTTTAGTTTTACGCCGCTTTTAGCAATATTCCGGCAATACAACATCGAAGGACACAAGAAATGTGCTTCACACATTGTACCCATGTGGGAAGGATCGATCCCGGGGCTTGAGCGAGTTAAGTTTTATGCCGCTTTTAGCAATATTCCAGCAATACAACATCGAAGGACAAAAGAAATGTGCTTCACACATTGTACATATGTGGGAAGGATCGATCCCAGGTCTTGAGTGAGTTTAGTTTTACGCCGCTTTTAGCAATATTCCAGCAATACAACATGGAAGGACACAAGAATTGTGCTTCACACATTGTACCCATGTGGGAAGGATCGATCCCGGGTCTTGAGTGAGTTTAGTTTTACGCCGCTTTTAGCAATATTCCAGCAATACAACATCAAAGGACACAAGAAATGTGCTTCACACATTGTACCCATGTGGGAAGGATCGATCCCGGGTCTTGAGTGAGTTTAGTTTTACGCCGCTTTTAGCAATATTCCAGCAATACAACATCGAAGGACACAAGAAATGTGCTTCACACATTTTACCCATGTGGCAAGGATCGATCCCGGGTCTTGACGAGCGGACGCTGTAGCCACTGGGCTACAACACCGCCTTACTTTGTGTAACGTCACGATGATGCATCCGCATCTTCCAGCTCCCAAATTTTAGACACAAATACGATAAATTCAGCGTTAGTGCCCACGGGGTTGTGGCTGTCATTAAAGTCAACCAATTTATCATCTTATATGCAAATCTTGCAACTTGGAGGTGAGGTGAGGTGAAATGGGGTTTGACGTCGTAAGATTATTTAGCTGATGACGACGTGCATGCGTGTGTGTGTGTGTGTGTGTGTGTGTGTGTGTGAGTGAGTGAGTGAGTGAGTGAGTGAGTGAGTGAGTGAGTGAGTGAGTGAGTGAGTGTGTGTGTGTGTGTGTGTGTGTGTGTGTGTGTGTGTGTGTCTGCTTGTACTAGCCCAGACTTAAACTGGTTTTATAGTGCCAGCTCACTGAGATACCATGCCGCAGTTTATCATGTATACCCCACTCAGACACATTATAGTGACGAGCCGACCAGTCCATTTTGTACCCAGTAATGCCGAGCGCCAGGCAGGAACCAACACGTGCCAGATTTTAACGTCTTTTGGTATGACGCGGTTGGGGATCGAACCCACGACCTTCCGCTCTCCGGACTGACGCTCTAGTCACTACACCAAGGAGGCGGCCTCTTGCAACTTGGAACTTTTGATAACCACACCCTGTGCAGATATGATATTGTGAATATTTTGCCTAGTTTAAAGGTTAAGTCAATTATATGGATCAGTCATTCAGCTGGTCCTGTGGGAGTACTTTCAGTTTACGATGCATATCCTCATTAAAACACGTTCGACATGACGTCACGCCATTATGACGTTAACAATGTGGGGTACGTTCAGTGTACAACATATACGTTATTTGTTCATAAACTATATGATTCTGTTGTATTTTTCTAGTTAGGATGGCGACCTCTCAGAAGTTAACAGACCACTTTCTGACATGTACAATATGTACAGAGGTGTTTGACAACCCATGCACACTTGCGTGTAATCACACCTTCTGTCGGAAATGTGTCATCAGCTACACCAAAACCAAACCAGAAGCCATCAGTGCCAAGTCTCTTCTGTGTCCATTCTGCAGCAAGATGACGAAAGTGTCTGAGCCTGGCAGACCAGTGGAGGAGTGGGCGGACGATGTGAAGCCAAGCTTTGTGATCCAGGGACTGTTGGACTCATTTGGCCCTGGATCTAAAGGTAAGCGTAAGTGTTATCAACTGATCATTTGTGTAAATGTGTAAAGTATCCTGGATGCCAAGAAGTCATATGAGTCTGAAAATAAATCACACAACAGAAATACATATGTTCTACAGGGTTTTTAATGCACTATCTACGCTGTGTGAATTTAATATATGTTCTGTTAGCTACATTCCCAGTAGACAGCTGTATCCATTTAACTCCTAGGTCCACAAACTTGTCGTAGTGCTGTGACATTCCTAAGCTAATGGTGAATAATAAAGTTGCGACAGGTCGTAACTTTACGATGGCTTTGTGGATCGTGATCCCTGGATGTTTGTGGTGATGCTTTTCGAGTCCCAAACTAGCTCTGACTATTGTCTGTGATTTGTCTGCATCATAATCCGTACTCCAAGTTGTCAGTTGCTATCACAGCTACATTGTATCCTCAGCATCATTGTTACTTTTACCATTGTTGCGTATATTCCTTAGAAACGTTTATTATTTCAACCTTTAAGCGTATTCATGTCATAACGGATTGTTGATTTGTATCAGATACAACTAACTGCCGTTATTGTAAGGAAGAAGGGGAGACAACCCTTGCTACCTCCTGGTGCTCTGTCTGTGACGACGCCCTCTGTGAACGATGTGTACGGATGCACAATCGCAATCCATCCTCCCGTCACCATGACGTAGTCGGCATGTCTCCAGAGGTCAAGGTCAGAAGAAGAAGGCAAGGGGTTATGTGTAAGGATCACAAAGATGAGGTTATAAAATTGATGTGCAAAGACTGTAAGAAAGCAGTTTGTCAAACATGTTGTATTATCTATCACAGAAATTGTAGATGTGTTGTCGAAATTGAGTCAGAAATACCAACAATGAAATCAGAGCTGGAAAAGAATAAACATAATTTGTTGGAGAGGTGTGCTGAGATAAAAGCACTCGTTGACAAACAGAAAACAACATCCAAAGAGGAATCAAAGCATTATTTACAAATGGAGTCTGACATTAAGTCTGCCACAAACAAAGTGATTGATATGCTGAAACAGAAGGAAAAGAAGCTTCTCAGTGAGCTGAAAGAGATGTCAGACAAACACCTAGGTCAGTTAAAAGCAGACATAAAATCAGGAGAGATGTCAGTACAGGTGTACCAACAACAGGCTGAGTTGATAGACCAGGCTCTACAATCTGAGTGTGACATGGACGTGTATGAGATGTATCGGGGATGTGAGGCCGGTGATGTGGACGCTGTTACAGACGTGAAGGAGAGGGGGAGAATAGCCAGAACCGTTTTCAGACAGGACACAGGCCAGCTGAGTAGAGCACTTGACGATCTACAGCTGGGTGAGATTGATGTCCAGTATGAGAGTGTGCTGGACATGAAGGCAACTCCTATGTTACACAACACTATTAACGCCACAGTCGGAGACATTGAAGAAGCATATCTTGTAGACATCACAGTGGTTGTTGTGAATGGTGTAGATACGGTCGTTGTCACAGACGCACTTAACAAAAGTGTGAAGTCCTTCTACACAAGTAATAACAAAGTGTTCCACTGTAAGCTCAGTCTCGGTGACACGCCGTGGGGTATAACAAGGCTGAAACACAACCAGGTGGCTGTCACTCTGTCAGATACCAGTCAGATTGTAACAGTTGAAGTCAACCCTGACCTTGTGTTGCTGTCAACCATCACAACCAGCAAACAGTACTCGGGTATAACGTCTCTGACACCATCAACACTAGCAGCGGGTTCCGAGTCCCCTCCCTGTGTTGATATCCTAGATATGACGGGACACGTGATGAGGAGTATCAGTCCACTCCACAATGGAAACAACATATTACAAGCACCATTATTCCTCTGTACTACGAGTAAAGGAAACATCCTTGTGTCTGATTTGAAATCCAAGTGTGCTGTTTGTTTGACCCCTGGGGGAGATGTGGTGTTCACCTACAGCCCTACAGGAGCCACAGCACTGGAGCGTCCAGCTGGTATCACAGCTACCAGCACAGGTGACATCCTGGTTACCGATAGCTCTCTAGAGAGGGTCATCCATCTGACTGAGTCGGGGACGTTTGTGAGAAATATTCTGACATCCCAGGATGGTATTGAGGGTCCCTGGGGTCTGTGTCTAGATAGGTCTGGCTATATGTACGTGTGCATGTCAAATGTGGTTACGGTTTTCTCACTGCACTAGATGGGGATAGGACTAAACCAAGTTTTGTTATAACAGCTACAGGACGGTGGGTGTAGCCTAGTGGTTAAAGCGTTCGCTCGTCACGCCAAAGACCCGGGTTCGATTCCCCACATGCGAACAATGTGTGAAGCCCATTTCTGGTGTCCTCCGCCGCTACATAGCTGGAATAATTGCAAAAGGCTGCGTTAATCTAAACTCACTAACTCACTATAACAGCTATACGGTCTTTGTTGTGTTGCTCAGGGGTGTGTCTGTTTTGGACTGTGATTGTCAGCATTTTGGAAACATCAAATATGTTGGTATCATAATGTTTAGTATGCGGGTTCGGGAAGTTCATGATTTGTCACAAGTGTGTCTTGAGCCAAACCCTAATTATATTACTTAGGGTTTTGTTTCCCCTTGCTGTTTAAGCAGTGAGAAAATGACAAATAGGAGTATGACAATTTGAGTATGACTGATAAATGGATTATATAATCATGGTAACAATGTTACATATGTATCTCCCACTGAGTCGACAGATATGGATAATATGGATAATAAGAATAAACATTCACTATGAGAGTCTTTAAACAGCAGCACGCACAACACATTGTGCAAACCTGCCCTTCAGGATTTTACTGCGCATCACTCAATAATATAGCAAAATTTATCTCCCTTAGACCGGTGAGAAATTGCAAATATGCTCTTACCTTGCGGCGGTTGCTTGCCTGCTGCTGCTGCGGCGATGATGATGATTTGCATTTGAGGTTGAAGCCTCATGATGCATATTTCGCACACGGTGTGACTGGATTCAGTTTAATGTACAGAAAGGTTGAGTGGATTACATCACGTGACACATCCCAGCTAGTTGACTTATGTTGACGGACTGGAAAAAGGTAAATGTTTGAAAAGCAGATTATTACACTCTTTGTGTCATGGGTATGTCAGAATAGGTAAGTTTCGTCCGGGTCGAATATGTCGCCATGTTGTTCACCCAGTCTGGTCTACTGGTATCAAACTGATGTGGAAACCCACATCGTTCATGTTCGTCTTAATATACTTTGATCTGGAGACATTGACTCTAAATCGGGTGACATTCTTCTTCGGGCGAAGGATTTTTCTGCGGAAAATATTGCTGGTACCGGTCTCAGTTTATCTCCTTTCATGGCAAAGTTGATGTGTTCACTTGGGTACTTGATGAAAAGATTTAAACACTGGGAAATCGGAATAACCCTATTTCTCATGGGATGCTGGATGAAGAAAGTCTTGGGAATCAAAAGAAAGATAACGAAAACGTCATCTCGTTGTTTGCTTAAACTGTACAACAGTGGGCAACAATAACAATGGCGAAAACAGATGACGAACAGCTGATTTATCGACTGGTCTTATTCAAAGCTGGATGAAGAAAGTCATGCGAATCAAGAGTAAGAAAGTCTCCAACGGAAACGTCTACTCGCGACTTTAACTTTCCTAAAACTGTAGAGTGGGCAACAAAAACAACGGGGACAACAGATGACCAACAGCTGATTTATCGACAGGTCGTCCCTACATCTTCTTCAACAGCCAACACCAACAGAGACTCTATAGGAATATGGCCGTGATCTTAGTGACATAGCTTGTCAGTATCTATATCATGATGATGCTGACATCCACTGTACTAGGAGAGAAATACATCTTTATTCTCAAAACATTAACGCATTAACGGTTTGATATCTAAATGTTGTTATTCTGAATTCATTGATTTCTGTTGCATGCACGATGTGTTTTCTTTATTGAAACAATGTTTAATGTTGTTTCAGATGCTATGCTAAGAGTCTTTGTTATACATGACTGCTATATAAGTGAACTTCCACGAGCATCAAACCCAGGAGATATTCTGGTGGTATAGCTGTATGCTAAGTGGATCTTGTGATATGTTTATTCTACGGAGAAGGGAAACCTGTTGTATTTACTACAAAAAAACATTATTAACTATTTCTTCCTTTATAAACCGAAGAGATCGCCCTACTATGAAAAACTAAAAGTGTGGATTTGGGCAGTTATAAGTATTCTGTTACAAATAGTATATGCCTATTGTGAGATGTGTTCATTCATGTTATGTGGTGACTTTAATGCCAGAACATCCAATGATTGAGATTTTAATCCAAATGAGTGAGTAAGTGAGTAATTGAACGAGTTTAGTTTTACTCCGCACTCAGCAATATTCGAGCTAACATTGCGGTGGTAATCCAAATGATGATGTGTCACACCGACAAGGATGTATGCTAAGCCCCTATGGTTTTCATGTTTCATTAATGAACTTGTGATTGACATGTATGAAGGTTGTAACGTTGGTATTTTGTAACTTGGGAAATTGGGGATATTTTGCTTTTACATTTTGCCTAGACATTGTAACTTTATCATTTTCACGTTTAAACTTTTTTTTATGTTAATTGTGGATAAAAGTATTGTTATTTTCCGTAACGGACGTATTTAACACACCATGAAAAGTGGAAAATTTGTAACGCAGAACTGAAAGCTGTTACATAAGCTGTTTTTATAAGAAATAGCCAAGTTTTACTTTTGTCAGTTCGTACCGGTTTTGATTGTTAAATTTATCGAATCCTTTTATGTGGTGCAGAAATTTGTTGAACTAAATATTATAATTTGACTGAAATGATTCACGCGTCTTTAAAGCAGTACAAAAGTTGGTAAATTTGCATCAAACAAGGCATTTTTGGGTGAAGTGGTTCGCTCGGTATCAGCTACTCAAGTTCGTGTTTTACAATAATAGATCAAATTGTAAAGAGCAAATTATGTCAGATCTCACCAATGTTATACAATGTTTAATTTGCTTGATGACAGAGGTAAATGTAAATGCTATTGGGTTTCTGAAGTGAGGGGAAATGTAATGTTTACCTTGTTTTGATTTGTTTTGATTATTCAATATGTATCAAATCATTGTTATTATATATATTTGGACATGTGTCAGAGATATTTCATCTTAGAACTGTTACTTCTATGTACAAAGTTCAAAATGTCATCAACATTACGCTTATCATATTTTTTCCTCCAGCCTGGAATGTATATGACACATTTACTCGATAAATAATTGATACCTGCCTTCTGTAAATTTAGATTTTTTACACAATTTTAAGATTAAAAGACATCGGATGTGATCGAAAAAGATCTCTGTACTTGGATATCAAACAAAGAAAACTCTTCAAGAGGAGCCATTCATATTTCTTTTTATAATTCTGAATTGAAATACGAAACCTACCTGAATGTATTACATGATAATAACCAGAGGGCGTTACTCAATTTCAGAACCTCAAACCATTATCTTCCAGTTGAAACATGGCGATGGAGTAAAACACCCCAACATGATCCGTTTCACAACCAGTGTGTAAAGAAACAATTGATTAAATCTAAAATGCCACACACAAAGTCAAATGTTACAGTACCATTACCTCATTTAAGATGCAATACTGTTTATCAGTCACTTTGATGAATGAACACAGTTTGTAACAAAAGGGTTGATTATGTTCGGATGGTATTATTCGTTAGTGTTTACTCAGCATTTACCCAGATAACGCCAACAATCCACCGGAACTCACACATTTAATAAGCAGCAGGCCCTCCTTTCTAAAAAGTATGAATGACTTGAAAACGATACAGGTGAGGTGAGGTGAAATTGGGTTTAACGTCTTACTTGAGAATATTGCGCTCATATGACGACGTGCATGCGTGTCTATGTGTGTGTGCGGCTGCTTGTACTAGCCCAGACTGAAGCTGGTTTTATAGTGCTAGCCCTCTGAGATACCATGCCGCAGTGAAGCAAAAATACCCCTCTCAGACACATTATACTGACTCCTAGCCGACCAGTCCTTGTTGTACCCATTAATGCCGAGCGCCAGGCAGGGACCAACAAGTACCATATTTTAACGTGTTTTGGTACGACGCGGTCGGGTATCGAACCCGCGACCTTCCGCTCTCCGGGCTGACGCTCTAAACACTACACCACGGAGGCGGTCTGAATACGATACCTGTATCGAAACGTCGTGCTCTAGAATAGAAAAGTTAGTGAGTGAGGTTAGCTTAACGCCGCTTTTAGCAATATTCCAGCAACATCACGGCGGGGAACACCAGAAATGGGCTTCACACATTGTATCCATGTGGGAATCGAACCCGGGACGAGCGAACGCTTTAACCACTGGGCTACCCCACCGCCCCCTAGAATAAAAGAAGTTGTCATCCATATATATCTATCTATCTGACTTCCAACTCTATGCTGACTCAAAGAAGTCAAAATAAATTGTCTGAAGGTCTTAAAGAAACATATACAGACCCAAGACAAACTTTCCTGCTTTAAACCGATAGGCCAGCGTTCATTTCTTACAGTGATTATCAGCATTGACCTACCCAGCAGTACAATTGCATGTCATCGTATCTCACTGCTGGGTGGGTGGATGCTGATGATCAGTGTAAAAATGATGGACATTTCCTATTCTACCAGTAGCACCAGCCCTGGAAAATTGTTTTCTTTGGAACTTAACCTCTTTGATATAGCAAAAAGGCGATAAAGGAAACGAAACAAGAAATATGTCACAATTATTTGTTGTAAACATATTCTAACGTAATTACTCTCAGATGTTCGTATATATATTTCGAAATACGCTTTCAAAGTTGAAAACCAGTTCCCATGGTTCATGAGGTTTTGGCCCAAGTGCAACACCTCTGGCACCCTTCAAATAACGTGAGTCAGGCTTTATGCGGCCTTAGCACTATTCCAGCAATATAACGGGAGATCCACTTAAGGGGGTGAGTAAGTATCTTTATGGTCGGGTCTGCGTAAGGGATAAGATTTACGTGGCTTTTAGCAATATTCCAGTAATACTACTGAGGGGAACACACGAAATTGGCTTCTCACTATGCACCCCTATGGGGATTCAAACCCGGATCTTCGGCCTGGCAAGCGGACGCTTTACCCACAATGCCACACCACTGGCCAAGCCACTTAAGCAACAACCACAGAGGAGCTGATTGGTAATTGTGAAAGGCTTTGTGAGAGTGGACGTGAATACACACAAGCAGTCAGGTTACTTTGAGAGCATTGACAACGATAAACCAAATGATGTTTAGGGATTTATAACACCAGGCCATAGGAGCCAACCTAAGTCATTAAGCCACGTAAACAATTAAATATTAGACTTTAAAAGATTTCCAGACACAGACAGTAAAATACGTTTACACCAAACACACGTATCATAATAATAGTCCATTTATCATGCTCGTTGCTCCATGCACAATGCATGCTCGAAGCGCCCAAACAGTCTCATTATTATTACCCCGGATAACCCAAGCTGCCTGTTAGCCGCAAGAGGGTTATAGTCACATTACTTTATCCTATTTTGGTCACCGCAACGTCATGTATATTTCAGTCAAAGTGTGTATTAGGAAATACGGTTATAACGAATTAGTGGTCACTTTATCATTCCTGTAGTTCACTGAATGCGCATGTTACAACGCTGCTGGTATTCATCTAACCCGAAGATGAACAGTGCCATTATGATGTCCTCAGATAGCTAGACTCAAACCCGGACCAGCTGATCTTGATAACCCGGAGACTCACTACAATGATATTTGCCGCCTTAGACCATCGGCTGCACGTATAATCTCACTGCCACAGTCACATGTAATAAATATATTCACTGGCCTATAATGATGCTGGCCTCTGGAATGCACATATTTCTCAACAAAAACAATTCCTAAATTATCATCATAGAATAAAATATAACTTAACGGAGAGACTTTTTTCATATTCAGACAGCGGTAATCTGGAGTTGCAACATATTCTGGACATGCATAGGCGTGACTGAATATATCTGCTTTAATGCCACAGGAAATAGAGGCAGTTAACCAACACGACCATCACTGACAGCAGTAGTGTTACTGTAAATAATGTACCAAACTTACATTTCACACACTTCGGTTTTCCTGCTCTGCTGATTATCAGTTGAGAGCCGTCCGTACATGGGTTCTATCCTTTAATGATAGACAAAATATACAAAATAATGATAGGTATCAAAATGAGTTCATGAGAAACATTGAAATTCAATCATTGAGCAATTATTAGTTACCCCATTACACAGTTGAACAACACACTGACTAAACTGAATGAGAACGAAATGGCCGCATCTCCTCAATTTAGAAATTGCAAACATGGGCATTGGGTTTTTATGTTGATTAGCTTTCTCAAAAACCAAAATGTCTCCAAATATTCTACATTTCAGGAACTAAAGACAGTAACATGTTCTAGTATGAACGCCATTCACGCCGCCCTAGCAATATCCATACCGTATGGTGAGAGTCTGTAAAGAATCGAGTGGGGACCAAACAATCTAGTGATCAACAGCGTGAGCATCGATGTACGCTATTGGGATACGAGTACATGAGTCAGCGAACCTGACCACCCGAACCCGTTAGACGCCTCTTACGACCAGAGTTAAAGAGAAATTTCATGGGTTTTAAAAAGTTGTAATAATATTTGTATGCAATAATAATTATGTATGAGTGAGTGAGTTAAAATTTAACGTCACCTCGGCAATATTTCAGCCATAGAGTAACGAGAAAACAATAAATACGAGTTGTTAAACAACCAGTCATCGATGGACTGTAAAATAACTAGATTATCACAGATGGTGTCTAAAACTAGAATGTAAACTAAAACTATTTTACTTACGAAGACAATACACTATAAAACAGGTTATAGGTCGCAAACAACTGAAGGAAGATCACCATACTAGGGACCATGGGTACTTTTGCTACCTGCATGGACCCTAGCTGGATTTATATCACCCTTTCAGCCGCTGGCGATTGTAGTCGAATCTAGCCATAATCTAAAATCACATAAATGCTACGTTTAAAAAATCTGGTTTGTTTAAATCTACTTTGAATGTTTCGGGGACTTACGTATCCTCTGAGGAAGACAATACTTCAAAAATACTCTACCCCCACTACAGCCACTAACAATCTCAGTTACTGATTTAAACTTCCAATCATTAAAGAAAACATCTATCTTCAAAACTTGTCAATCAAAGTTTATCAATCAAGTCTATTTCTTTGAAAAATTCAATAGTTAAGCAGGACATGCTTGATCGTGATTCGCTCATGACAAACGGATGATCCTCGCCTTTCAATAAAATATTCATGCGTATATCTTGTATGGCCAATACTGACCTCTTTAAATCTGGACTGACAACTCAAGTAGGTGTAACCTAAAGTTGAAAGTTGGTTAGTGCAATCACGGATATAAGATCTAATGACAGCTTTGTAATTATGTATGGGATCAGAAGTGATATCACAAATTTGTTGAGTGCTGCCTTGGCAGCAAAATCGGCCATTGTGTTACAAGAATTTCCAACATGCCTGGTTAACCAAAAGAGAACGATGTAGTTTTGGCCAGTAGCAAGATCATTATATGATTCAATTATTTCTATACAAGCAGTTGTCACAAATGTGACATAATCCCCCGCCGCAAATTAACAAATCAAACTTAAAGAGTAATGAAAGTGAAGGTAGTTAAGATGAAGTTCAATGTCAACAAAAACATGACCAGTCAACCTCTCTTGATATCTTTCTCTGTAGTTGTTCAAACACACAAATATTTTCAAGACTCACTTTGACCTTGACATGAATGTCATGGTGTATGAAGTATGCAAAAAATAGTAATAGAGAAATTTCTTATCAAAAACATTCAAGAGAAGTCTTGAAAATCTATGAAGAAACCTTGAAAATTATGGGAAGGAGTAGTATAGGTAATAGCTGTTTTGGATCAATTCTGAATGTTGACTTTGTCTGTGGAGGATCAAGTCTGGCTCAAGTCTGGCTCAAGACTGACATAAGCTTCTTTTATCCAGTAAAGCCTTTGTCGGGTCCTTTTCCCTTCCCTATTATAATATTATATCTAGTTTTTCATGTTCGCATACTTTGATCTGGATACATTTCCATCCTGGTCACTATAGGGCCAATATTATATATTTAACAGAAGAGACCTGATAGCAATTTGCCGATGTACTGACAACGACGTTTTGTACTCCAAAAATCATGAGGACAGAATTGTT